TTCCTGTTAGGGTGGTGAGGCACTGGAATAGGTTGCCCAAGGAGGTTGTGAATGCTCCATCCCTGGCAGTGTTCAAGGCCAGGTTGGACAAGGCCGTGGGTGATATGGTTTAGAGCGAGGAGTCCCTGCCCATGGCAGGGGGGTTGGAACTTGATATTCTTAAGGTCCTTTCCAACCCTAACTATTCTATGATTCTATGTAAAAACAACCTGTGTGAGGTCAAGATGCAACAAAGCACACAGAAACTCTTGATTTGACAGATGGAATGAAAAACCTTTGGTATGCACCCAAGAAATCAAGATGTGTTGGTGTTTATCTGCAGGAAGAGGCGGTTGCACCATCTGAAAAGAACCTAGCAAAATTTTTTTCCCCTCTGCTTAGGCTGATTGGTAAGATTTGGATGAAGGCACAAAGAAACTAAATGCTACTGTTTCCTAGCAAAATGCTGGCTTGTTCCATTCAAATGACTGCTCCCCATGCATACGGCAGTGGTAGAGTTTGCATTAGCTTCTTCTTGCAACATATCTCTTCCAAGTGCAAAGACTTAGCAGCAGGAACAATAAGAACTTAAATGCAGACAGAAGCTCAAGCTGTAAGCGTATGACAATTCACTGGGCAAATCCTGTTTTATGGTATACACTGGCCAGTGTTACTGCCAGCAGTCAGCTATGGCTATGAACAATGCTAGCTAAGACAAGCATACGGTGAGAAAAGAATGACAATATTATTAGTTACTGTGCAGGAAATAAGAGGCAAAGATGCCATTCACAATTTTGACTTTAACATCTACATGAAGTAGGGGTACTCTGATTTTTAGGAGTCTACTAATGGTACAACATGAGATTTATTTCTATTTTTACAGGTTTACTTTTCTTTTTTGTTCTTATGCTTTAAACCAAGCAAACAAGCCAATAAAAACTAATCAAATGAGATTATGAAGTACAAAGTAAGGGTTCAGACACTTCGTTTTCCTTCTTTATGCTCTTCTTCCACCTACCTTAGCATTAAAGTACCACACAAAGAAAAGGAAGAAACACTTTCACTGATTACAAAGGCGCTGCATAAACCCAACTCAACACGCGTTGCTGCCAAATGTACAGCATAAGCAAAGCAAATGGCTATCATCTTTCCCATAATTATATTTCACTTAAAGAAATACAAAATAAAATCAGCTACAGCCTTCATTCAACATGTAAATCTAAACAGACTGAGAATGGAAATAAGTGCTTGCTGTCCACGTGTGAAGTTCATGATTACTCTGAACAATAAAAGCAGCAGAATGCCTAACACCCATTGGTTTCTCCAAGCACTCATCCATACTGCATGCCTGGCAGTGGCTTCAAAGAAAATGTGGATTAAATAACATGATTCAGATGTGAAAACATTGACAATAAACAGCATTTTAGTACCGCTCAGTCATAAAACAGCAAGCTTTAGTACTGCATGTCCACATTAGGAAAAATGAAACTGCTTCTTCCGAGAATAACATCTGAGTATTTGACCTATGTGCCCTGCCATGAAAACCAGGCGAAATTTGTTCTGATTTTCCTTGTTCCATCAACATTTAAAAGCAACCTTATGTAAGAGTCTAGCTACTAAAAAATGACCAATTTTTCTTTAAAAAAAATCCAATAAGAAACATTTTTAGTTACCCACTTCTGTCATTTTTAACAAAGCCATTTTATTATGTTGTTGTTCTTAAAGAACAATGTCCACAGGAGAAGTACAAATAAAGTCGTAAAATACTTTTCTTAAAGATCACTAAGCAGATCAGATGGCCTCTGATCAATGCAATAGCCATTAACTGCAAGCATGTCATAACACTAACCTAAATGACAGGCCTACCCATGGCATGGAGGCAGTTACAGAGCCATGGGAAGAAAACACCAAGCATAGTGTCTTCTTCCACGATTTATAAGGGACTTCCTTATCTCCCTTCAAATCCCTAAGGAAAGGATTGTTTGGTAATTTTCATAACCACTAATTCCTGTGTAAAATGGATAAAAAAAACCCCACGCTAATTGGACTCACCACATTTCTGGAGTCTTCTAGGCTATGGTAGACAGATTAATTTACCCTGCTGTAAAAGAAACGTCTCAAATGCAAGCATATATCCCAACAAAACATTAGCAGATGGTGATTATAAAACGTGTGTGAGAGGCTTGGGTGTGCTTAGTCATACTATTCACCAGAAAAGACACATTACTATGGGTATGAAAAGATGGATTACTATGGATGTGAAAGGTAACAGGAAGGGATTCTATAGGTACACTGCAAATAAAAGACAGACTAGGGACAGCGTGGGCCCTCTCCAGAAGCTGTCAGGAGAACTGGCTACCCTGGATTTGGAGAAGGCTCAGGTTCTTAATGACTTCTTTGCCTCAGTCTTCACTGGCAAAGGCTCTGACCGCACCACCCAAGTCTTGGAAGGCAGACACAGGGACTGTGAGAATGATGACCTTGGGCCCACTGTAGGAGAGGATCTAGTTCGAGACCATCTTAAAAATCTGAACGTGCACAAGTCCATAGGTCCTGATGAAATCCATCCGCGGGTCCTGAAGGAGCTGGCAAATGAAGTTGCTAAGCTGCTGGCCATCATATCTGAAAAATCATGGCAGTCCGGTGAAGTTCCCGACAACTGGAAAAAGGGAAATATAACCCCCATTTTCAAGAAGAGGAAAATGGATGACCTGGGGAATTACAGATCAGTCAGTCTCACCTCTGTACCTGGCAAAGTCTTGGAGCAGATTCTCCTGGAAGGCATGCTAAGGCACATGAAAATCAACAAGGTGCTTGGTGACAGCCAGCATGGCTTCACTAAGGGGAAATCCTGCCTGACCAATTTGGTGGCCTTCTATGATGGGGCTACAGAACTGATGGACAGGGGTAGAGCAGTTGATGTCATCTACCTGGATTTGTGTAAAGCGTTCGACACTGTCCCACACGACATTCTTGTCTCTAAATTGGAGAGACATCAGTTTGATAGGTGGACCACTTGGTGGATAAAAAATTGGCTGGATATAAGAAGGAAGTTCTTTACTGTGAGGGTGGTGAGGCACTGGAATGGGTTGCCCAAGGAAGCTGTGAATGCTCCATCCCTGGCGGTGTTCAAGGCCAGGTTGGACAGAGCCTTGGGTGGCATGATTTAGTGTGAGGTGTCCCTGCCCGTGGCATGGGGGTGGAACTTGATGATCTTACGGTCCTTTCCAACCCTAACTATTCTATGATTCTGTATGTTGCTATAATGATCCACAATTTCGAAAAGTCAAACGAGATAATTGAAAATAGATTTCAGAATAGAATTTGAGCAGAATTGCTGAAAACAGCAAGATGGGGGATGGGGGGGTGGGGTGTGAAGCTTTGTTCCTGTAATCTTTTTGTGTCTAACAGCTATGACTAGAGATGAGATACAGAGCTAGATGGACACTGCTCCAACCCAACACACCTCAGCTCCTCAGTGCTCAGGAGAAGCCGGATATAAAGAAACGACAGAGTTTCTTACACAATTTAATCATGCTATTGATGGTATGATCTTTTTATTACTTAATTATTTAATAGCAGCTCTATTGTTAATGGATGTGGTTTATGCACATCTTATCCACCACTGATACAGATTTATAAACCACTCTAAATTACAGTGCTGTAATTGGACGGTGTTGACATGAAACTTGAGTAGTTTAGGAATTTTTAGAGGCATGATGCCTGAAGACAAATTTTAATTTCAGCTCTAAAGCAGATTCCCTCTGCATCTTTAGACTACTCATCTCCATTTTCTCCTCTCTAAATGTGCCTCCAAGGACAGTGCTAGAGGTTTAATTAATGAATGTGAATCATCTCAGCATTGCCTCCTGAATTCCAGATATAATAAATAATAAGCCAAAATTTTACTAAGGCAAACTATAGTTCTACTTGAGGAAAAGCACAATTTCCACTATGCCAGTCAGAAGCCGTCCTGCAAAATACAAAACCAAAGCTGTGCTACTTTCAATCTCTGCCAGCAAGTGCAGTAGTCTGTCTTCAAGTGTGCAGCCGCTTATGGTGTTAAGTTTTCATACAGCCTGCAGCCTGACTTATGGTATCATGGCTTCTCTGCTAGCCATGCTCAAGTTGGCAAGATAGACATACAGCAAGATACAGCAGTCAGATGACTGTGATTACCTACCCTTGCAACCCCCACACGTGCAGCAGACACCATCACTGGTCATGAGCATGTATCCTCTGCTAGGAGTCACCTCTCCTCAGAGGATATGTCTTCCCTTTCCCACCCACTGCCACAGGGCATGTCAACATTCCTCAAGCTACCTAAACTGTTTGCATAATCAGTCGCAAATTGTTTCCACCCAAGAGAGGATACCAGAGATGACCTCCTTCAGCTTTTTTGGTTGAACCCGCTCATTTCAACTGAAACAGGACACAGAACAATTGCAGCTGAGAAAGGGGAAATGAAGGGGTAGAAGAATAACGCAAGAGATGCGTGGTAAATTCTTGTATGTGACCACCACACCATCAATCAGTGCCAAAGGACTTGTTCAAATTACATGGCTGCCAGATGTGTTCCTTCCGTTGCCTTCACATCATTCACATGACTTCACATTCATGAGATGCCCTGCGCACCAGATTTGAATACCTCTATCTCCCTGCTCAAGTACTTTTGTACACTGTATTTCCAGATGGTTTTTTGGCATTAGTATCAAGAAAATAAATTCAGGCACGTGTTATTGAAGAGACTGGGGTATTTTATGTGACACTGAACAGCTTTACATTTGTAGAGTAAAAGGAAAAGGAAGCTACTGGAAGTACCATAACTGGAAAGTAGCATTATTTTCCATTCGGTGACCTCCTGGCAATTCCAGAAGTAGCACAGCAGGCACGTTCCTGTCCCACCTCCCTGTTTAGTTTCTCATGACCATCATCATCACCCTCTTATCTTGTCTGGCCTGTGATTAGGATCACTACATCATACACTGCAAACTAAAGACCATCACTGAGTAGTTTCAAACCTATAACGTCAGAGATGTGAGACAGCTTGTGGGTGAACATCCTACCTTAATGACAAGACAAAGTGATGGAGAAACTGTTATGCCTCTCAGAGGCAAGCTGTTCCTCTAAGCTCCAAATTTTAGCAAGTAAATGTCACGAAAAGAACTGCCCAAAAACCCTAAAAGTAATAATAAAAAAATTAAACGTGCATCAGTCATTTATTACACAAAAAGGAATCAAACTGCTGTTAGTCACATGTTCCTTGAGATCTGCCTGTTTCTGTTTCAGTACCAAGTATATTGTCAGATCCATTAAAGAAAATGAAGACAAAACCAATGCCTGTGCATGCATATGCCCAGAAACACAAATACAGTTGATGGTAGTCGCTCCTCTCAAATCTAACAGCAAGATACATTTCAACTATCTGTTAATTGCCATCCTGGAAAAGGGATTATATTCAGATTTTATGGCTGACAAAAGAAGACATATATGTGCTGTTAATGCAAGACAAAGCAGGAGCATCTCATCACAGAATTATCTGAAATCTACCACTTATTTTCATTTCACCAAAACAAGACAGGTGGTCTGCTCACCACCAAAAGCTGGCTGTTCTCAAGAGATGTCAACCACCGTGAAAAGATGCTCAGAGAGTTACAATCAACCAAAGATGGAAACTGACTGAATGTTAAACTTAATTACATTTCTGTTGGTATTATGTTACAATCAAGACATTACAGGCCCCCGGCTACTGACTGCAAATAGGAGACTTGGATACTCAAAGGATTAAGGCTTTCATCTTACTCTAAATTGCTAAATTTGTTTTCAGTTGGCAATCCTGCCAGATGAAAAAAAGCAGATTAATATTTTTAGATATACTGAGTTCAGTACTTTTCCTAAACTGAACTCAGACATCAAATCTACTATACATACCATTTGTTAACAAACTCACCCATATTTTCCATCCATTTACATTCACTGTCACTGAAGCACAGAGAGAGAATGAACTCCTTTCCCCCCTCAAGGAGCATTCTCTCCAACTTTCATTAGCTAAACTGAAGCTAGTTACAGAATGACTAAAAGCAGTTAGAAATCTAAAACCAGTATGTTAGTCAACAACTGATTATATTAAAAATGTGATACTCATTTGAGAATACCTTTATAAAAAACCCTAAGAAATCCCATGGCTTTTTATGAGTCTTTTAAGCTGTAATCAATTTATAGCATAGAAACTGAGTCAGCTGCTATGTAATTAAGGCTCCTCATGAGAAGTATAGCTTTGCAGTGACTCAACGGGCATTGTTCTCAACCTACATGAGCCTGAAACACTGCAGTCATTAACCAAGTGCAGCTCACTAAGTCGTCCCTTTAAAAATCTGCAAGAAATTTTGACCTTCCCCTCCCACCCAGAAATTCTCCTTATTGCTGTGTTAGAAAATGGAGTCCGCTTTTCTCTGCCACAGCTAGTGCCTCCCAGAGGCAATTTCCACCTTTTAACATTTAAGGGTAATGAAGCACCTCCACTATAAGTGTGACACCTTTATTCTTGTTCCCTTCCCAGTTTGCTGTCAGGATCTGTCCTAGCCTAAAGTAGTCTTGATGCCTTCACAGAAAGACTCCCCAGCCCTGAAATGCCTGGTGTCTTCTTAACATGCTAGAAGAGGTTGGCAGGAGAGAGTATACTCTGACCTAACTTTCAGTCCTTCCTTCCTTCACACCCTGCTGTGAATTGTCTCTGCCCACAAGTCCAGATCAGAGATGCTGGCAGGAAGAGTTGCTGCTCCTCGCTTCTGCAGAAGTGAGACCTCCTCTGTACGGAAATGCTGAAACCCTCCTGTGAAAAGCCTTCCCTCTGCATTTGGAACTGACCTGTGTTTAAAGGCAAATTTTCCTATTCAAATGGGAAATGAGCAGAAAATGCAACACATATGCAGCACATAAAAAAACCCATGTGCCTGCAAGTTCCCGTTCCTAGTAAATAAATATTACCTGTAGCAACAGGCAGTGCAGATGCTTTCCCCCTCTCCCTGCCCTTCTTCTTTTTCTTCAGTTACAGCATCAAAAGGAAACTAAGACCTTTTAGAGACATAAATGATGCATTCCTGATCTAGAATGCCATCAGCACCTGGACACCTGGCAAAACATAGTTCAATACCCACCAATTCTCCCCCCCCACCCCGACAGCAAGCATGAATATTCTTGCCTTTCTTCTTATTTACCAACAACACTTAAAGGCAAGAGTGTTCAGAAGTTCATTTCAGCGGGTTTTGTTCTGGTTACATTACAGCAAATTGCTTTGATCTGGGGGAAGGAGGAGGAGGGAAGCAGAGAACATCTTAAGTTCACAAAGCCAAAAGCCAAGATGCACAAAACTGAAACATTCCAAAGGTAAAAATAATCGTCTTTAAACTGCAAGAGCAGAGATGTAATTTTGAGCAGTACAGCATGACATCATGGTTTATATGGGGCCAGCCCAATAAATCAGGCTGTGCCTAATTAGAGATCCTACTGCAAATCTACATTATTTAGACAAATAATTAAAACAGGACAGTCCATAATACAAGCCAGATATGTTTACTAAAATATGTTCTTTTCAAACTTTTATGTTCACTACTGCTTACAAAGCTTTCGCATTTAGTAAATTATAGACCCCATAGCTTTTATTTTAGGCTGACTTCACTTTCAAGGAATTCTTCAATTAACTTTACATTGCTTTAAGCTCTTCATCCAATGAGAAAATAATCTGTGGTTTCTTCCAGTGCCAATGGTTGCTCTCCACTTTTGACTTGCAGGCTTACTGTCTTTTTAGAGCCAGGGTCTGTTTGTCTAAAACCAGCCTATTTGTCACAGCATTTTTACAAGTCCTCTGTAAAAGGAGAACAAACTTTTGTGGTGGGTAAACTGCTAGGAACAATGAAGGCTGTTCTCACAATCTCAACAGATGAGTGCCAAATTGAAGGGACACTTGGCAATAAGCCCAGAGCTGAAAGCCCTGACTACCTGAGATACACTTCTTTCCGACCTACCCCAATTTTTGATTTTGCAATTTCTACTTTTCTCAGTTTTTTTTCCAAAACATGTGCTTTTCCTCAAATCTAATAGTTATGACAGGCTCAAACATTCAGAGCCTAAAAAACCCAGTGCTATCAAACATTACTATCTGTAACTGGTCTCAATGCCTCTGGAATTGTTGAAAACGCTGTGGAGACTTTGACTATCAGTTACTTGGTAGATAATGTTAAATCAAGAGCCAAAGAGTTTAATCAAAAGCATGAACTGAACAGAATGGACAGGATTCATTCCTAAACTGCACATTTTTCCTCCTAAACCTTCAGAGATGTATATGTATTTTTTTTTTCTTTTAATCTCAGATTAAATAGAAGGGGAGAGTGGGCAGCTTTTACTCCTTTTCCCTTTTGACATTTGACTTGGTAAATGGACCAACATATGAAGGATGAGAAAAACTGTAAAGACCATGACTGAGGAATAAAATGTTTGACACAATCAACAGAAAAGGACCACACAAAAAAGAAATGTATTTCTGTTTGTGCAGTATTATGTTGTTAAAATAATTTTCTTCTGTGGAAAATTAACCAAGTACAAACATGGAGAAAATATCACCCACCTCTTAATAAACAGTTTTTAGATAAAATAATGCAGCAAGCTTTAAAGGAATCAAAACACATTAAATATTATATGCACTGCATGACAATGTTCATAAAGACATGGCAAATGCACCTCCCTCAACCACAGCCGCCATGATCAGCATACCCTTAAATAGGAATATACCCTTCAGACCTCCATTTGAATTCTTCTTTATGATAAAAATGCATCAAAATTATTAAGATTTTTCTTTTTTTTTTAAAGACTTCGTGGACAGAAATATTATGACTGACCTCACTTAAGTGCAAGCATTTGGAGTCACAGCCATTCCAATTCCCTTACATTCTCAGTGTGCAGCAACAGATTTCTCAGGAAGAAAAACCATTACTATTTGGACATAGTTTGGAAAGAAACAGTGAAAATTAAGAAAGCAGCCTTCCCAAAGAAGTATCTATTTTTGCAATGCGTGCTTTCAAAGCACAATGCGTACAGAATGAAATATTTCAGTTCTCTTGTGTAAACTTGTAGATTGTTTGCTATTGATCTTTTGAGTCATATTTTGGCAGTAAACTGGTAGAAAATGTAAGTACTACAAACCAAGTGATGTAATCTACATCTATATTTAACTCATTTTGCTTTTTTTCTGTCCAAGAGGAAAACTCAGAAAAGATACAAAAATCAAAGACAGGTGAAAGAAAGACCAAAACCAGAATATAGTAAAATTTATATTTTTAAATAAATAATCTGCACTCCAATTTTTTCTCCATATTATGAGTTTTGTGATAATGAACACCTTCAGAAGAGATAGATTCCTTGCTGTTCTAAGTTACAGGACAGAACTCAGATTAAAGTAAGTGGTGTTTCTACCTGTACTCAAGATGTAGGACTAAGCACTTTCTTAAATAAATGACATATTGACTCTATAAAACCACGGCAAAACCCGATCTTAAGGAATCTACATTTTTTTCAGAGTGGATTATTCTTTCCTCCCTGCCCCAAAACTGCTGTATATTCACGAAAAGAAAATAAAGAAGAAAACTGCATTATACTGAGGCCATCCATACGTCCCTGGCTTGTAATGCTGTGTGTGCAGTACATGTACACAGTACATGCTAATGCCACATTCCCTGTCTACTACTGTTGTGGCACAGAGCAGTTGCAAGAGTGTCCAGGTTTCTGGTCCTTTGTGGAGTACATAATACTACATGGCAGTTTGGACAGAAGCTAGAAAAAACATACGGAGGAGGGTAGCTGACAGAGGGCAACTAATGCAGTGCTTTTCACGGGTAATTAAAGCTTTGCTCAACCTCAAACTCTCAGTTGTGACATGTCTTTAACCAGATAAAGAAACTGCCAGGCAAGGACAACAGTGCATGAGAGAAAGAATGCATGAGCGAGACCACGTGCAGGAGATGGAACATGTGTACTTCCCCCCCTTTCCTTCTCCCAGGTTCCTCCCACCAGCTGAGAGCCACTACCCAAGGGCTCAAACCTCTTCAAAGTCTGGTTACCCTAAAAATAAGAACATGGTGTAGGCCAGTATTTACAAAACAACTGGAGGAATC